CTTATAGTAGTACTGTGTTAGCTAATGCAATTTAGTTGCTTTTGGTCTAGCGAATAATATTTAAATATCATTTATCAATGTTAGCCTAGAAAATAAATTATTTTAAAAAATTTATACTTTTTATGGCACTTAAAATGTTGCGTTTGATACCTGATAGCAATTTTATTTATGAATATTTTTAAAAATAATAATTTTTATTACTTTAATAATTATTTTATTCATTTTTCGCTTCTTTTTGAGACAACCAGCAATATATGTATTTTGTATTTTTGTGATTATTTTACAATAAAAACTGTTAAAATAATTTTTTTTAACTAATTAATTAATCAATTAAATCGTTATTTTTTATTTCGTCACAATTCTATTTTTTCAGTTTTTACACCAGAGAAGATTATTTTTAAACCAACACTGTTCTCAATGTTTTCTCATTTTATTTTGGAATGTATTTTTGAAATGAAGCTTACCTTCGTTACTACTTAATGGTTGTAGTTAATAAATATTTGAATGTTTGAATGCTGATTGTTTAGACTGACCAGCAGACAGACCAACAGACAGAGTAACAGACAGACAGCCCAACAGACAGACAGCCCAACAGACAGACAGCCCAACAGACAGACAAACCAACAGACAGACAGCCCAACAGACAGACAGACCAACAGACCAACAGACAGACAAACCAACAAACAGTCAAACCATCAAACAGACAGACAGCCCAACGGACCAACTCAAGCAAAAACAAAATAAAGTAATTAAATAATACAAAATAAGATAACATATCGTTCTGCTGTAACCATCTTCAATGTTGTCATCAGTATTTTATCTCACTTTGTATTATTATACTATTGAAGATTTGTTCAAACACGCACACACACACGCACACAGTCACACGCACAATAAGACAAAAAAAACACACATACACACTCAAATTCACACACACATAACTCTTTTAATATATGGACGCACGTGCTGAATTTTCGTGGCACTTTAATTAATACAAGCAATTAAAAAGATGTATTTTTGGTATTTGTTTTTCGTCATTTTTCAGTTGAAACAAACAAAAAATATAATTGAGAAATTGATTGAACACTGACCAAATAAAACCAATCAAAAAGTAATCAACCAATCAATCAATCGATCGATCAACCAACCAACCAACAAATCAACCAACCAACCAACCGACCGACCGACCGACCGACCGATCAACCAACCAACCAACCAGCCAACCAACCAGCCAACCAACCAACCAACCAACCGATAGACACAATGATCATTTAATTATTGTTAAATCAAATAATCATTACTCGATCAATCAACCAATTAATCAGTTGATTTATAAATCAATCAATTAGTTAATCAATTAAACATTCGGAAATATTAACATTCCTCTGCTGTAAAATTCAATTCTTCAAATGAGCAATAATAATAATTAAAGCGAAAATAATAATAATAATAATTGTTATTATTATTGTTATTATTACAAAAACATTAATAATTCAAGAGCAACAAAAACAACAACAAAATCATAAACAGCATCGTAATTATTTTATTTTCATTATCACCATTAATCACCACCATTATTATTAATAATGTTAACCCAACTAAAAGCCCAACAATATCATCATTATCATCACAATCATCATCACCAACATCTTCATCGTCATCACAATTATCATCATCATCATCACAATCATCATCATCATAACATCAACATCATCATCATTTCTTGACCGTGTAATCGTCACAAATGACCAATGCCCATCTTCATCATCATCTTAATCCGAATCATTCTTACCATAACAACGCCATCATCATCACCACTAACCCTCACCATCATCATTACCAATAACTCACACCATCATCATCACCACTACTACACACCATCATCATCACCACAAACTCTCACCATCATCATCACCACTACCTCTCACCATCATTATCACCACTACCCACCACCATTTTATTCCTCCTCATCATCTCGATCATTTCTGGACGACACAATCACCATCAATATTCATGGCTCTGACGGGATAGGCCGTCTCTTCACTGCTCAGACGAATGGGGTCGTTGAGGATGAGGTCAAGGGCCCTGACGTGGTGCAGGGGGCTTGAATCCGGGTCAACGTGCTCCACCATCACCCTCTTTATCATTATGTCACCGTCGTTCTCTTGCGCTATGTACATAGACTGCCGTAGTGGTTGTTGGTGGTGGTTGTTGGTGGTTGTTGGTTGTTGGTGGTGGTTGTTGGTGGTTGTTGGTGGTTGTTGGTGGTTGGTTGGTGGTTGTTGTTGTTGGTGGTGATGTTAATATATATTTTCGTCGTAATAGTTATTCTAAATGATAACATTTACAGAGAATTATAGTATACCTCATCCGATACAAGCTGAGCTTTTACAAGGTGCAGTTTGTAAGTTAAGTTTGAATAAAATAATAACTTAGTCGAGTGTTTTTAAACCTTTGGGGTCAATTTTCAAGCATTATTTGCTACATACCTATAGCCATTTGTTAATTAATTGGGAGGAGAATTAGATGGTTGAAGAAGGACAATCCTCTTCATCTGAAGGAGGTTGAATGTTTCAAGACCCGCGTGTGAATTATATGGAAACATTTACAACGTTACAATTTTTCGTTTAAAATAATTCTCTACTCTCACCAAACTCCATCCACATCTCACCGTTTTGTTGTTTGGAGATGTTGGAGTGTTATGGGGAATGGCCTGCTCTTTGATGATGGAATAACTCATCCAGCCTGCAGATAGATGGAAGGTAAGGTGAATGAATAGGTGAATGAATGGATGAATGGATGAATGAATGAATGAATGAATGAATGAATGAATGAATGAATGAATGAAGGAACGAACAAACGAACGAACGAACGAACGAACGAACGAACGAATGAATGAATGAATGAACGAACGAACGAACGAATGAATGAACGAACGAACGAATGAATGAATGAATAAATGATAAAGTTTATGTGTAAATGAACGAATCAAAAAGCGAGTGAATGAATGAATAGTTGGATAAAATGAAAGGAATGAACGAACGTATGAAAGAACAAATAAAAGATTAAAAACAACTTCTAGATAAGCAAGATGACGAACGAATTTAATGAGATAACAATAACTCTGTATGAGTGAGTGTATGAAAAAATCATTATCTATTACACATGTGTAAGATTTGTGTGATATGTATTTGTGCTTGTGATATGTATTTAAGTATCTAATTGTGTGTGAAAAAAGATAAGAACGAAAATAAATATTAATTAAAATGTTATGAGATTGACGGGACGATAGTGTAATGGTTAAGGTTCTTGGCAATGGTGTTGCAGTCACTGTGTTCGAATGCCCAAAGATCACCATCTATCATCACATGTACGTTGGAATTGTGTGATATGTATCTAAGTATCTGTGTCTGTGCGTGTTTGTGTGTGCGTGTATGTGTGTGTGTGTGATAGGATCAACAACAGTGTGTGTGTGTGTGTGTGTGTGTGTGTGTGTGTGTGTGTGTGTGTGTGTGTGTGTGTGTGTGATAGGATCAACAACACAACATTATTTCATTTCCATCATAATTTTTATCAGCTTTACTATCATTAAAACACGTGATGAATGTATAATGAATAGATTAAATTGACTGAAAGATAGATATGTAAAGGCAAAAACAATTTGATCTCAAGCCATGAAACAAAATCCTCTTGAATGTCAAGTCAAACGCAACGACCAACATCTCCCAACTACCAAATAATCATAAAGAAACAATAATACAAAGATCACAACAAACAAAACACAAAACGTATTCAATGTTGGCAACATTAACATATGAAAATTGAAGATAATACTATCAACAATAACATTAAGCACCAGAATAGCATAACATCAACTACATCAACCAACTAAAACATTTACAACAACAACAACATTAACCAAAAACACCAACACCATCACTACCAACAAAATCAACACGATAAAGGATAATCCCGAGCCGTTCATCCTCGCGGTCTTTAATTCATTTTAATTCACTTTAACAATTTATAGTTAGTTTTATTGTAATAAATTTATTTGTTAGCAAAATATTTTTGTATAATTTTTTAAAATTGCTCTTTTAATTCTGAAAAAATTGTTGGCCTTTTGTTGTCACGGATAGGACGGGACCTCCAACTTCGACGCCAAAAAAATAGGGATTACAACAACAACAACTGCAACAACATCAATAACATCAACAGCAACAGCATCAACAATAACATCAACTATACCAACTAAAAAAACAACAACATCATCAACTATACCAGGGATGGGCAAACTGACGATCATTTATGGCGAACAAGGCCTCGCGGGCGCATAAAATAGCTTCGCGGGCCGCACCGCGGCCATAGTTTGCCCACCCCTTACTATACCAACTACAACCACAGCAACAACAACAACCGCAGCAACAAAAACATCATCAACAATAACATCAACAACATCAACAACAACATCAACAACAACAATAACATCAACAACCACAACATCAACAACAACAAAAACAACAGTAACAACATCAACAACATCAACAACAACACCAACATCATTGACCTACCCTTCAGTTTATCCGGGTTTTCGTTCCTCCAGTATTTTTTATCCAGTGATCCCATCAGATCCATTTTTGTTGGGAAATTTTTCAGCAACAAAAAATTCTTTTTGCAACATAAAAATATTATAAACAAAATTCATTTAAAATGAATGAATGAATGAATGAATGAACGAACGAACGAACGAACGAACGAAGGAAGGAACGAATGAACGAATAAACGAATGAACGAATGAATCTTATTTATAAAGTATAAGAAACTTAAATTTTATTTCTTTCGCTTTAATTTTTAAAAATTATTTTTTATAAAGACACATATTAATTAAATTATATTAATAATTACTTATTATTTAACTAATTAGTTTTATTTAAAATAAAAAAACTAAAATGAAATAAAAGTAATAATGAAAAAACGAACCTAAAAATATAATCAAGAATTTCATAAAATTTCTCGGCCAAAATGTTTTTGCTTTGAAGAGTGATTCTAAGTATGCATGGTTGTAGGTAGGATGTTTTCACTCATACATACATACATACATACATACATACATACATACATACATACATACATACATACATACATACATACATACATACATACATCATACATACATACATACATACATACATACATACATACATACATACATACATACATACATACATACATACATACATACATACATACATACATACATACATACATACATACATACATACATACATACATACATACATACATACATACATACATACATACATACATACATACATACATACATACATACATACATACATACATACATACATACATACATACATACATACATACATACATACATACATACATACATACATACATACATACATACATACATACATACATACATACATACATACATACATACATACATATATACATACATACATACACACAAACATACATACATAAATATTTAATGTGTTTATATAAGTTTATGTTTGCATTCATATGTGCATATTTATTTGTTTGTATAGTAACAACGTAATCTGAATCAGCCATTCGAAATGTTATGTTACTAGAATTTTTTACGTAAAAATGATTCTTATACAAACAAAAGGTATGCGTTAAATAGTAATAATATTTTTACCGTTTTTACTACCACTGTCATTATTTTTACTACAACTTCTACTGCTGCTGCTACTACTACTGCTACTACGGGTGGCTTGATAGCTCAATGGTTAAAGGCGCCTGGTCTTGCTGTTGTAATGACTGGGCTCGAATACAAAGAGATCCCGGCTATCATATGCAATGTGTACGATGCGTGGTTTGCACGCGTATTCATATACGCAGTGTGTGTTTGTCGTTGAAACCTCTGATGCAAGTGCAAAAGAGAGAGAGTAACCTTTAACCTTTAACCTTACCTACTTATAAGACAACAGCAGTTACAACGGTAAGCATTGTTATAACTATTGCTATTCTTAGTGTAATTTTTACAACTATTACTAATGTTACAATAATTACTACTGAGTTATTTACTATTAACACTGCTACTAACATTACCGCCGATACAACTTTGTTATTATTCGTAGCAGATTTGGATTTTTAAGCGGGGAAGTCCTGGGTTTTAAAAAAGTAGAGTCGCCAATAGAGGCCCCTTACTTTTCGATGTCTTTTTTCCATAATAAAAACTTTTTCATTGCTATTATTTATATTATTACTAATGTTATTTATTGAGGTCAATATTATTAATAACATAAAAATACTTAATTTGTCTTCTCAAGATGTTGAAAAAATCGCTGTACGATTAGGTTTTTGTCGGCAGTTCCCAGCACGTAGTTTTGTAAAAATTTGTTAAGCTCTATTTACTAGATGGGCAGGTCCAAAAATATTCAAAGGTGTTTATCTTCTCGTGATGTTGAAATAAATAACTACTCACTAGTTTTTCTTGGCAGGTTTAACACTTAACTTGCTAATAAATACATTTGGCGTTATATTGTACAAGTTGGTATTCGCGTTATCAACATTATCATAATTTATTATCATCCTAATTGTCGTTGCCATTACAGACGATATCATCTTCATCATCATCTTAATCATCATCTTCATCATCATCTTCATCATCATCATCAGCAGCAGCAGCAGCAATATCAGTAGCAGTAGCAGCAGCAGTAGCAGCTGCAACTTATTATTATTATTATTTCTGTTAGTATTATTATTACTTTTATTCACTGCAGTAATACAATAACAAAAATAACAACGACCCTTAAGAGGTGCACTCTTTGACCACTATAATTGTGGTCGTTTTAATTGCGGTTGAAATGGAGATGGTACTAATAGGAAGAGATTTTTGAAAAATAATAATAATAACAACAATAATAATAATAACTATAATAATAACTATAATAGTAATAATAACAATAACAACAATAATAATTACAGTATTCATTATTTAGTGTATTTTAGAACATAAGATTAATAATTGAACCTCACCATCGTCATCTCGTCCTTACTCCTTCTTGAACTCCTTTTGAACAATCCTACGCTAAATCTGCCTTTACTTTTTCTGGCCTTTTTGCCTTTTTTCTGGAACTTTCTACCTCTTTCTCAACCACTCACAAAATTCAGGTTTATTATGTCAAGAATACGATAAGGCAATACCAGAATGAGTGTCAAGGTCAACTCTTTTGCCCCGAAAAATTTTTCAAATAACTTTAACGAGTTTTGAGACCAAAAAAGATATTCCTTCTCTAACCTAACCAGTGCCGTTTTAAGTCACAGTCACGCGTCCGCCTTTACCAATCTCAAATTTCTAATTTTTCCATTTTTTTTTACTTTTTGCAAAATTTTACCGTTCGTTGGACAGAGTTTGAAAAATGCACCAGTATAATTAATATAGAACACTTAGGTTTTGCCAACTGCATCCTGCAAACATTTCATTCTCTTTTTTTTATTTATACTTTTCTTATTTCAATTTCATTGCAATGACATCGTAACATGCTTTCTTCTCAAGAGTAATTTGTCAGAATGCCTTGTGGTGTTCTGACAAAATATGTTGATCGGTAATATTGTTACGGTCTTGCACGCTTATACTCTCGAAATGGCTTCAAAGTTTATCTACCGAGATGTATGACTAAGCAATCGTTACGATTTTGCAGGTCTGTTTCATGAAACAGGCAGTGGCACTTGCGATTTTCTAGTGAAAGGTATGTCCCCACCGCGTCTCGC